TTTTTGAGGAACGATCATAGTTTCAAACCAAAAATCAAATATGGTTAGATGCGCAATAAAATTCTCTATCGAACCTGCTATTCAGCTTTTTGATACTTTCAGATTTTTAAATCCGGCAGGGTCCTTTCTTTGCAATTTTGATTAAAAATATATAATGAGGTTATAATTATGCATCATTGAATTTTAATATTTTTAAAAAAAATTCAAATTAAGAGGAAATTTAAACATGTAAATTTAATAATTTTATTGGCGTAACATATCTAACTTAGCATTCGAATATGAGCCCTTTTGCATTTTTCTTAATATAATTTATTGGTGAGGTTATAGTTTTGCACCGCACTGTGTACAACTTACGAGGAAACGTCCCCAAGGATGCAATCACTTTTTGCTTAAAATCTAGTGGACAATAGGTAATCGACTGTGATAAATCCGAATCTGACATCTTTAGAAAGCAAAGAAAGCTCTTGTTCTGCGACCCTGATTCTTTCTGACTCTCCAGGAATTTAAAATATATCATTTCAAGTGGAAAAGTCCAAGTAAAAAAAAGTAGGTATATTGATACCGATGCCGGTGCAATACCTAGTAAAATGGATAAAGACCAGAAGATATTCTAAGGAATGCTTCACTTTTCTTGTTCTCTAGTATCTGTCTTTCGTTCCATTATCTAAGTTATAGATCACGTTCGTCGTGTTCTTTAAATCTTTGTATACTTTGTGTGTCTGAATGTTTTTTCAAAATATATCTCGTTATAGTCATGACATTTAGGCATATACAATTTTATACAAAGAAATTAATTTACAAGGAATATTTGGATTTATTCGTTCTTTTCATTGGTTTTATGAACTCTAATATATCTTACGTTGAATAAAATTCTATTGATACATTATGATTATTTTTATTGCATTAATAGGCAATTAATTCAATTAGAATTGTACAGAGTATTTTCTTTTATCCTTGTTAATGTTACATGACATGTAACTGAGTGATCAACTCATTCAAAATATGGTGCTGACTGTAAAATAGAATTGAAGAAAAAAAAAAAAAAATCTTTTTGCGTGTCAACAAAAATTTATAATTTTCAATCTGTTATGCAAGTATACAAATGACAAGAAAGCAACAGAACAATAGTGTATTAATTATTCCATTTATCCCCTAGAAACTAGTCACCTGGACAGAGCAAAGAGTTATTTTGCTGTTAGAAATCTGTCAGTATGATTTATTGCAGCTGTATATATATATATTCTTTTTTGCTAATTCTTTTACTATAAAATAATTTATATAAATAACAGATTTTTATCTGTTATTTTTCAACTTTATTTTCAATATTTTATCATATTTATTAGTTAAATCAATAAAATATTTGTTAAAAGATATTTTTTCTTTTATATTTTATTTCTTGAAAAGTAAATGAAAAAAATGTCGTTGATTAACAAATTAGTACCAGTTAGAGATGTGTCTATTGATGAATTTTTAAATATATTTTATAAATTAGAACAAATTTTGTTAGATAATTCCGATTGTGATTTAATTATTTCATATATTGATCGACTCGCATTAAAAATTCATCCAGCTTATCAACATATTAAAGATAAACAATTTTTAATGTTACTTGATCTATTAAATGATCTACTCATTAAAGTAATGGATATTCTTGAAATTGTTGATCGATCATCAATCATAATTTCACATTTAATTTCATTTGTACAATATTTACCTAAATTTATTGAAAATATTGATTTAAATGAAATTTTTTCATCAAATTTAATACTTGCTGAAGAAATACTTCATTTTTATTTAAAATTTCTTAATCATACACGAATAAAAAATTATTTAGAATCTATTGAACAACGAGAAATATATGATCCATTATTAAATACTATATTAATAATAATTTTCTATTGTTTTCATCATATTGAACAATTATCAATAAATATTCTTGATTCATCAAAATCAACAATTGAATTATTTATTTTCTTTATTGATCAAGATCATTTACAATCTGAAACAAGTGAAAATTTATTACATTTATTAAAAATTTTACATCATAAATCACATTTTACTTCAGTATTTATTCAAATGGGTTATCCTCAAGCATGTCTTCGATGGATTTCTCAATCAGATTTAACATACAATAATCAATATTATATTCTTACTATTTTATATAATATTTCTCGACATAATAATGGTACTCAAATTTTAAATGAACAAAATGCATTAAAAACACTACGTTATTATAAAAATCAAATTAATTTAAAATCATCAATATTATCTCAAACACAATATTGTACTTTAGCCGTTCTTTTTTGCATGACCTATGCACTTTTACTTGAACCAGAGGAATTAAAAAAATTTATTAAATCATATTTCAATAGAAAATCATCACAAAATGAATTTTTATGTAATACATTTGATCGTCTATTTCGATCAATAGTTTATGCGGCTAATAATGAAAAATTTATGTTCAATTGTCTTCATATATCTGAACCACTCATTGTATTAACAAGATTATTTATAAATGATGAAATTGTTGATTATATTTTAAAACAAGATCTAGGAACAAACTCAAATATTGTCGAATTTTTTTGTCAATTATTATTTAAATTTTATAATTTAACACGCAATAGTAATAATAAATGTGATCAACTAACATTATTATCTCTATGTAATCTACTATGGAGTATATCATTTCAAGATAAATATAAAAATGAATTGAAGAATAATTCAATATTTATGAATATTATTAAATTATTAATGAATGATAATATTGATTTGACCAAACATGAATACATGCCGAGACATTTATCATCAATTAGAAAAGCAACTGAAGGTTTATTATGGAATCTAGATGATAAATCTTTGCATGTAGCAACACCGTTAATTATTACAGAGCGCTCTCATCCATTAGCCATGATCAGTTATTCACATGCAAATATTCTATTTTGTAAAGAATTAGTTGATAAAATACGTTCTATGGAACAATTTGATATTTGGGTTGATTATCTTATACATGAGTCAACAAATTATACGACAGTAATGCATTCCGATGATATTTGGGAAGAAATTGCTTAAAGTTATACTGGAAGTACGTTCATAAAAATTGACGTGAGATTTTAAGGGCCTTCTCTTTCTTTCAAATTTTTTTTATTTTGAGCTGAGCATGGTCTAATGTAGAGGAAAGTCAGGACTATAAAATGAGATTACTTCCAGCTCTGCATGACTTTTCTTGAAAATGCTATGAAGTTTTTAATTTTTCCTGCAAAGTCTCAGAAATCTCAATTTTTTAGTTTTATAACTTATTCCTTCCGCTACTATATATTCAAAATTGTTTGTTAGACGTAGTCTGATAGAAGAAATCTTCTCTTCATACCCAAGCAGACAAACATTTGGAAAAACGCGTTTAAACGCTCAAAAGGGAACCGCGATTGTGAGTCAGTAACGCTCATTAAAAAAACGCAAGAAACGCGTTTTTTGCGCAAAATTTTCACTTTC